TTCATCAACCTGACCGAGTGGCGCTAAAGGCGAGTGACGTGTCAGCAGCTGATTGGCTATATTAACACACCTGAAAAAATACGATATTTTTTCACGTGTGTTGTTACGGCTTTTCTCAGGGCCGGAAATCCCTGTATAACACCGCAGTTTATGTGATAAATCAACTTTTCCAAATTTGAAATTCATGCTAATATGAAATCTTAACTCCATTACTTCGAGAATGCGCACGTAACATGTAGCACCTCTGAGAGCCCTCCTTTATAGTCTGGAGCAAAACTTATTTCTCTAACGCTCAAGTTGGTTTTGTCCTTATTCTCTACTCAGAACTGAGGAGTCCTTTAGATAATATCATACTTGTTCAAAGAACATGCTTAATAGAGTGAAAAAGACTGAACAACGCGACACCAAAAACATTTAATATTTTGAAAATAGAGTAACCCATTGCCGTTCTTCTTAACGACTTAGCGGAAAGGAGAAAGATGGCTCCTAACCGTTTTTCCCACAGAAAAATGGACTTTCCCCTTTATCACGAGCGAAAAAACGGACTATGAGATCAGAAATATTACGTTTATCGTGCTGAGTCCGGGGATTTTTTTGGTTTTGTTTTGTTCGTGGGGGGATGTGAGGAATGCGACAATTCCCCAGCAGTACTAAATCTGTATTTGAGATCGACTATCATTAAATCGCGTCTAAATTGTTTTAAAAATATTTTATGGACTGATCGTTTTACCATTATTTTCCTTTGCGTGTTCTTTTTCATAGCATTTAGGCGTCCGTGCAACTCGCCATGTCTTCTGGTTACAGGTTTACGCAGCGTATTAGCTTTGGATTACGACAAAAAGTCGATATTTCCAGTCGTTTCCAATTTATCATCAGCTACAGATGTAGACTTTCATTACAATAAGGGCTACATATTTTGGTGTGATGTGGGAAGTATCCAGCGCTCGAATATGGATGGCACAAACATCACAGTTATCCACTATGGCGTGCACTGCCGTGGGTTGGCAGTAGAGTGGGACTCATTCCAGCTGTACTGGACTAGTTTTTTCCAAACTATAATGGTATCAGATCTCGACGGAAATAACAAACGCACTGTTGTTTCTTCGCTGTTGGGACCAACCGATATCGTTCTTGATCCACACCAAGGGTAAGTACTGTATGAACGAGTGGACGATTCTGCAAACCAGTTAATTATTAGTGGAGATTTTTTCAATGAAAATCTAAGGTTGAGATGAATTTGTGTAGTAAATTGCTGATAAATCCAATAATCGATGCAGCTGAGTGATTTCCTCCACAGATTGATGTTTTGGATTGATACGGGAAATATTTCTAAGGTGGAAAGATCAACTCTATACGGAACACAGCGTGTTACTTTAGCGGTGCATAATAATACGTATCGAGCTGGTATCACTCTTGATAGAAGAAGAAAGCTCATATTCTGGCTGAATGAAAGGAACTCAATAGAATCCATAGACTATAATGGCCAGAATAGAAGGAAAGTTTTTCAAAGAGGTGGAGTCAACTTCCGGGCGATTACTTTCATCTCGTCTGATTTATTCGTCACTAACCGGTGGTTATCAGGGAGGGTTTACAGACTGAATCCCTCCGATGGAAAAGTTAAAAGTACTGTCACCTTCCGTACCGTCAACGTCACAAGCTTCTGGGAAGGCTTTCATGTTCTCGTTGCATATGATAGTTCCTTGCAGTTACCAGGTTTGCCATTAAATTATTCAAAATTATTCAAACTTGAACTGGTTATTCTGGAACTTGGAACTTTAATCCTGTGATTGAAGATATAAAAAATGATCCCAAACAAAACTGAGCGACATTGACCACTCTCACTAATTAATTCATTGCTGTATGTAAGTGGTTGTAAAATTACATTTGTATAATTCCACTGACAGATTAGTATCAAAAGAGAAAAATGTACCCCTTTCGTTTTGAATGTAAAGGGAGAGGCAGTAACTATAAACTACAAATCTAGAAGTTGCAATACCAATTAAAAACTAAAACTCGACAAACTGTTTCCCAGTTAGCTCGGAAGCTGAAGTACGGTTTAAAATGCAACTTAACACAGAATTCTCACTAAAAACAGTATTTTGGTCATATTTTGTTTCTTACCAGAAATTGGTCAAAAATCGAAAATCAATTGGCTGCTGTCGAGTGCATTCCTCCTGTGTTTACGTTGGGTAGATTTTCACTTGAGTTTTGTTCCTTTTTCATTACAGTGATAACATGTCCAGTGCCTTCACCATCCAGTGGTACAAGAGCCATATGTCCGAGGAATGCAACAGTGCATCACAATGCAGTGTATTACAATACAGCCTGTCAGTTCTCGTGCTATGTAGGATCTGGCTCTCAAGTAAGAAGATGTCAGCGCAATGGAACTTGGAGTGGACAGAATTATTCTTGTCAAAGTAGGTCCTCGAAGCTTGGTAATGACCGATATGTAATATATATTCCGTTTTATTTTGTAAATAACCACCGGCAGGTCAGTACATTCGGTGTCTGGTGGGAGTGAATATGAGTCGCTGCCGATCCCCGTGTACAAGTGTACCTCTGATCAGCGGAGTTTTTACTGCAGAGGTAAAGCAGCATGGAACTCCTTGCCAGGGGAGTTGAGGAACTATGCGAGTTTAAAATCGAAAAAGAAACTACAGGCCCTTCTCTTTGACGAGTTTTAACTGTCAATACACTAACACTGAAATTAGACTCTTAAGTAGTTTTAAGAATTATAATTATATGCGTTTTAATATTGATATTAGTACTTTATAAGCTGTATTTTCTAGGGGCCGGTTATTAAGACAAAGTTTAGCCGTTCTCATCGCCCAGAACTCAGCAACATATCCGGGACTTTAATTGAGACGCTGGCGCTAAATTTAAAAGCTAATTAGAAAAATGCATTCATCGGCACGAAGCGGATCGACAGACCTGTTCTCGAAGGCGGTGATGAGATCTTCCGGCAAATTTTCGGGTGGTTCCCATGTATTTTCATTCGAGGAGTAGTTCTGCCATTGAATTAAGTACCTCTCTCTGCCTCCTTTCACTCGTTTTGTGACAATACGCTCGACTTCGTAAACGCCCACAACAATTGGGCGGTATTTTGAATTACAGGCACGATCGCAAACATCATTGAATAATGTCGCGTAAAAGCCTGGTAGATGTCTCAAATGCTTGGACATGTTATCTCTCATTCAACTGAATGGATTGAATAAAAATTGACTCTTTCAGGTGTTTTGATTAATCAAAACGGATCCAAATATGAATAATTATCTAACTATTCCCTCAGGCGTAAGCCTGTTTTAGGTGGGTATTTGTTTGTTTTTCTCTTTGCCGTCCGGACTTCAAAGAGAAAAAAAATCCGGTAATATGCTCTTGGTCATACTGTGCGTTAACCGGCACAGTAAAAGAGCGCGAGCGTGAAGTTCAAGTGAGTGACCCGTGCCTCGCACGCTCTTGTAAACTCTATCGCACCTTGGGATTTACTTTACGCATCCAACCGTTTGATTGACAGCAGCTGAAATCTGCAAAGAGACTCAAGTATTCCCAAAGCTAAATCTGTTGGCCAATATAGCCGACTAGTTCTAGACCTGCAAATTATGCCGCGCGTTGATAAATTGGGCACTGTAAGCTCATGTCGCGAGAAACATAAGCTTTCTAGGCGATGTTTAATAAAACTGCGTTCTAAACTATCTTGAATTTAGCTGAATCTTTTATCTGAACATTCATTACTGCGAATAGCGTTAGGAGGCCGAAAGCAAAGAGTTTCTTTTTCCTTAGAGCTATCTAGGACTCTTCTTAGCGGAGTGTTTGAATAAAAGCATACAAGTACATATAGGAACGTGGTAAAATGGTCGAGCGCTTGTAAGGAACCATGAGAATTCTCCAATAAGTGTTCTGCGTAAATGAATGGTGACGTCATTATTCAACGAATTTGCGAACACCGATTGATTTTGAAAGAAGCAAGTGTTTTTTACTTTCGATTTCTTGATAGCAAATTCCAGTGCATGAGAGCCATTGATTTTAGGGTAGTCTGCCCAAATTTTGTTTTCATCTTTAGGAGGTCTAGGAAAGTCTCTAATGGGATCGAAATGGTCTTTGTAAACGTATTCCTAGGCTATTTAGTATTATCAACTCCTTACCTGCATGCGAAGGTAAATGTAAATTGGAAAAGAAAAATTTAGTTTAAATGTTTTATTTAATCAACATTTTTATTTGGCTTCTTGCTTTTGAAAGTTAATAAAACTTTTAATTATGTTATAACCATATTGATTACTATCTATGTGTATTGTATTGCAGAGATCACATGTCCAGTATTGTCTCCACCAACTCATGGAACAAGATATGGATGTCCAGGAAATTTGCCATTATATAACGGTACCGTCTGTCGGTTCACGTGTAATAATGGCTATGTAGGATCAGGATCTCAAGTCAGAAGGTGTCAGTACGATGGAATTTGGAGTGGACAGAACTTCGTTTGTAAAAGTAGGTTCCCAAAGTTTATCAGATAGAAAGAGTAATGTTCATACGTCAAAACGAACAAGAAGTCATTGATAACTGAATGTGCAAAATGTTAGTTTACCTTAGCTTCTTTCTATTTTTTAGTCATCAGCTGTACACCGCTGATGATAAATTGCATTTGCAGCTCAGTTCTAACACAGGGCTGTGTCTAAGAGCTCGGCCAACCAATATAATTATTCCAGTTCATTTAGCTCTCCCACACGCGCAGTCAATAACCATTGAGTTTTTCTAAAACCGAAAAAAGAGGTAATTCTTCAGTCGATAGTTGATGAAATGCGAGAGTTATGAAACTCCAAACTATCCCCTTGTTATACCTGATTGTGAGCTTTTTAAAATCATGTTTATTTGACACTGTTCTAGTTTTGATTTTGGTCTTACTATTTTGTTTGCCTCATATACATTTATAAAAGACACTACATTCCGTGTTAAGCGTAAATTTTTTAGCCGAGGATCGGAGAACCATTTCTACCCGACATCAAATGTCTGCATGGCTTCCGCTGAACTTATTTCTCTCTATAGTCAGAATTAAATGCCAGGTTGTGATATACTCGAAAGATGAGTGTCATGCTAATTATAATCGGATTTCTCCTTCAGCTTTAAAGTGCTCGACCTTGTCATTACCGAGGAATGGTGTCCTCTTGGGATGTAACACCAATAACACAGAGATGTCATATGACACTGAATGCAGGTTCTTTTGTAAGGAAGGATCTGAAGCGATTGGTGCAACAATAAAGAGGTGTGCTGAAAATGGAACGTGGATTGGACCAGACCTTGCTTGTCCAGGTACGAGAGATGCGAACTATTGGTACTATCAAAATGTAATGGAATTTAAGTGGTTTTCGCTAGTTTTTACTTGTTGTATTCATTGCGTCGCATGACGAATCGATTCGAGATCGTCAGTGGTCTTTACGCCCAACGTTTGCAGCGATTGTAGACCGCGATAGTCGACCTAACATCGTTGCACCGTTAATTCTCGGGACCACGCGGTTGATCTCATATCTCTGTACATGGATCAATCAATGTATGGTGAAAGAGATCTAATAACTTGACGACCCTGGATCACGAATCGATACAGGGTCGTCAATAGTCTTCATAAGGTTGAAGCAGTTGTAGATCATGACAATCAATCAAACAACATCGCAGCAATCTTATGTATGGGGCCTGTCAGATGATTCCATGCTTCTGCGCATCAATCACTCGATTTATAATCGTAGAATGGATCTTCACTGTCTTTATGTGTTTAAGACTCAGTGACGATACATTTGCCATTATCTGGCTGTATTCAATTTTATCAATGATATCAATATTGAACAAGCGGCGACATGTGCAGGTTCGCTATATTACACTTCTACCATAAATTCTAACTTTCTTGAGGGCTTGGTCGTGTTTACATCTTAAGCCGTTGTTACGATATCGCTGTTGATTTGATAGGTATGAATCATAAAGTCTTAAATTTATACAGAATAGCTATGAACTCACCGTAGATTGCCAACGATTGAGCTGAAAAAAATACTTACAAGCACGAGGTTTACGTTATGATGATGATGATGATAGCTTGTCTCGGTTATAGATCCAACGAGTGGTAAGTACACAATGATACAATATCTGCAGATCAATATTTGAAAACTCTCTACATAGCTTGAAGGTTTGCATACTCATGTAGATGTTTAGGAATAAGAGTTATCATCTTAACAAGCCAAGATTTCCCGAGGTGCAAATACGAGAAGCTTGAGTATCGTGAGGGGGAAAATATTGTTTCAGTACACCTGAACGTAAAGAAGCTGTATACTCCAAATTAGCCATGCGAAATGCGTTCTGTTTACTTTCACATACTCTCGATAATATCTCCTAACTCTCCTTCAGGTCTTTCAGCAGGGACTGTGCTGGGTGAGTCCTTCCTCGAGCAGACGATTCAGGACCGCCTACAATATTCTGAATGAGACATATAACCCTTTCCCACACACCCTATCCTGGCTGCCGTCTGCATACTTTTTCCGCAGGCCTACCCTGACTTATCGCGCCTGGCTTGTCCTGTTCACAAAGTTCAAGGCATCTTCCAGAAAGCCTGCGAACCTGGGTATAATACAACGCTGAGAGGCCGTATCTGACTACATCACTGAGGAGAAGACTACGGAAAGCTATGTTATGAGTTAAAGCATTAAGCTCGCTATTATGAGCGTCGGAGTTCTTCATTGTTGCTGATGGACTGCATTAAATAATGTTCAACGCAAGAAAAAGAGTGAGAAAAACGTTCAATGGCAAAACTTAAGGAGCTTGCACAAACTAAGCACTTTACATGATGAAATAAAAAATAATAACAAAAAAAGTAAGCGTAAATGTTTCTCAAAGTCGAAGGCAATACATCGAAAGGCGCGATTTTCATATATAACTATAGCAACAGTGATCTTCATGCGTGTGAAGATATCATATTTTCGCGCGAAATAAAGATCTCGTGTTAAAAGCTAGTTCTTTTGTTTTAGCGTGCGAGCGTGCTGTGTGCGTGCGTTCACCTTATTCCCTGAATCCCGAGGAGGGTCACATATAATAAATTTTGAGTTCCATTGTTGACGAAGACACATGTTGTTAATTTGTCACAAATGCTGAACGAAGGAAAAATCTGAGTCCGCTTTGACAAATCGAACCACAGACCTTCGGAATTCACGGTTCGATGATCTACCATGGAGCTTAAAGAGCACTCGTTGATGACCAAGGCCGTATACTTGGCTCGAGTTTATTTGAGACATTTCTGGTTTAATGTATTCAGTCTCTGAACTCAATAGTACTCAGTTATCGCTTTTCTGATTCTAACAGGGATGCGAGACAAATAATACCCATATATAAAAATTCAATCGCCCACCTCCCCACCCACGTCCCACCACTGCATATACGAACATACGAGGCCATTTAAGCCCTTTTGAACCGAGATCTATTTTATGGGAGGAATTAAAAAGATAGTATTTTTGTGAAGTTTCATCGGGGGCTTTGTCAAATCTTATCTACCAGTAAGTCCAGCAGAGCGTTATCGCCCAGTTCACCTCCTATTTAAATTCTATCCAGGCCCCTCTCTTACGTGTTACGATATCCATGACTAAAATTTCTCAGAATGAAGCCGTCTTACCCTACTCGGCGCACAATAACAAACGTAGACATGAAAGGACTCGAGAAGGCTTTTCTGCTTTGGAGCATAATCTTCATCTTAAGTCTCGCTTGCTTTCAGGAGGTATCTGCTTCTTTGGGTAAGTCACAGATTTTTGACAAGTAATCATTTCCTGTTCAAAACGAACCGAAATTGTTTAAATACAAGCTATGGCACGCTCAATTAGAAGTTGAAAGTTGATGCGGAAAAGCCAACAGGCTCCTAACTAAAGGTAAAATAGGACCAGAAAAAATCAATTGACGATGTATTGATCGAAAGATTACCAGTCATTGAGTTCAAATAGGAGTTATGCCAAGAGTAGTGTAATTATAAGGCCTTCTGATTTACACCATTGTCCTCGAACGTATTTCTACATCTTTTTATTTATTCATAAACCTCTTTATGACACCATGGTCTGATTATTTAAATAAAGGTTAGACGTTGCTTAACAAAGCCGCGTCCTAAACAATTTCAAACTCTTTACGGTGGCCAATTTACATTATCAACCAAGTCGCTAATTTTAAATTACCCTGCTATACTCTCCCAACGACGCAGCACCACAGTTTCTTTAGAAACTTAACCCTTTTAATCTTCAATTTAGCTAAACCTTTAATCTGAACATTTATTTCTGTGAACAGTGTCAAAAGGACCGAAAGCTAGCAGTGCAGAGACATTTACTTAATTAAATGAGAGGTCATCGAGAAAGTCTGAAGTCCACTGATTGCGTAAAACCGTGCATTATGTTAGACCTCGTGATAACAACCGGCCCCACGTATTTTTGGGATTTCTTGTAACCTTTTCTTTTTTCGAAGGAAAGAGACATCCGTACTTGGAGTATTAGAATATAATGCAATAATGACAAAATAATGGAAACTTTCGGAATCTGTTCTTCACTGTTATTATGCTTCCGACCCCGATCGAGTTTACTTATTTAGGCTCTGTGCCTCAAAAAAGAAAAAAAAACCATATCGGCAATTAAAACAAAACTTAGTAAAGACAGATTCCAACGGAGCCCTGTTGTAAAGAAGTCGGTCTTATTCGAAATTAATGCATACTAATAATTTGTTAACAACCGTGGAATTTGATCGTTGAGTTACAGAAGGTCTTTACTTTCCAATATTTGCGGTATGAAAACAAAGTGAGATGTAAAAGAAAGAAAAAAAACAACAATTCATTGCATGCAGAATTAAATGTTGCCATTGAAAATGAGGGTTAACCTCTGATAAAGATAAATAAAATAAACCATGATAATTTCAGTATCATTAGATTTGCTTTGCCATTAGCAGATTAAGTGAATTGATGAGATTCTGAGACAGACTTTGACCTTGAAAAACTGTCTTGTGTAGTAACGCAACTGCCATGAAAACGAAACGGAAAAAAAGTTCCGCATTCGTTTTTATCAAAAAAAATATTAGAAGATTTTGTATTTTTGCATGTAACATCGCTTTTAACATAATAAATCAACTTTTGGAAATTTGAAATTCATGCTAATTTGAAATCTGGACTCCATTACTTCGTGTCCAGTAATAAACAATCAGATAATGAGTATCGATCGAGAAAAGAGAATGTGCGCACAACGTGTTTGTGCCCCTGAGTGCCCCCCTTCAGAGACGGAAGCAAAACTTATTTCTCTAATTCAAGTTGGTTTCGTCTTTACTCTGTATTCAGCAGGACTGGGGAGTCCTTTTGATAATATCATACTTGTTCAAAGAACACGCTTGATAAAGTGAACTAGGCTGAGCAACGCTTCACCAAAAACATTTAATATTTTGAAAATCGAATTTTCTATTGTCATTCTTGTAAACGACTCAGTGGGAGAATGATGGCTCATAACCATTTTTCCCGTAGAAAAATGTACATTCTCCTTTTCATGGGCGAAAATAATGGACTATGAGATCAGAAATATTACGTTTATTGTGCTGTATATATATCTAGAGATATATGTTTTTTTGGGGGGGGGGGGTAGAAAGGGTGAGATATGAGGAATATGGTAATTCCTCACCGGTACCAAATCTTGATTTGAGATCGATTATCATTAATTCGCCTCTGAATTTTTTAAAAAAATGTATTATGGTTGTTTACGATTATTTTCCTTTGTTTGTTCTTTTTCATAGCAATGAGACATTCGTGCAACTCGCCATGCCTTCTGGTTGCAAATGAAAAACACATATTAGCTTTGGATTACGACAACAAGTCGGTATTTCCGGTCGTTTCCAATTTATCATTCGCTGTAGATGTAGACTTTCATTACAATAAGGGCTACATATTTTGGTGCGACTATGAAAGTATCCAGCGCTCGAACATGGACGGCACAAACATCACAGTTATCCACAATGACACATATTGTTATGGGTTGGCAGTAGAGTGGGACTCATTGCAGCTGTATTGGACCGGTTATCACAACAAAACTATAATGGTATCAGACCTCGATGGAAATAACAAACGCATTGTTTTCTCTTCGCTCTCTGGACCAGCCGATATCGTTCTTGATCCACACCAAGGGTATGTACTTTATGAACGCGTGGAAGATCCCGCAAACTAATTATTAGTTAGTGGAGACTTTTTCAATGAAAATTTAAGGTTGAGATAAAATGGTGAAGTAAATTGCTTATAAATCTAATAACCGATGCAGCTGAGTAATTTTCTCCACAGATTGATGTTTTGGATTGATAGGGGAAATATTTCTAAGGTGGAAAGATCAACTTTATACGGAACACAGCGTGTCACTATAGCGGTACATAATTATCCGTATTCAACTGGTATCACTCTTGATAGAAGAAGAAAGCTTATATTCTGGCTGAGTCAATGGAACTTGATAGAGTCCATAGACTATAGTGGCAACAATAGAAGGAAAGTTTTTCAAAGAGATGGAGTCAACTTTTTTGGACTTACTTTTATCTCGTCTGATTTATTCGCCGCTAACTGGTGGTGGTTATCAGGGAGCTTTTATAGACTGAATCCCTCCAATGGAAAAGTTAAAAGCAATGTAACCATCGCAAGCTATTGGGGAAACGTTTATGGTCTTGTTGCATATGATAGCGCCTTGCAGTTACCAGGTTTGCCATCAATTTATTCAAACTTGAACTGGTTATTCTGGAATTTGGAACTTTAATCCTGTGATTGAAGACTGTGGCAGTCTAGTCCGATATAAACAATGATCCCAAGCAAAACTGAGCGACATTGACCACTCTCACTAATTAATTCATTGCTGTATGTAAGTGGTTGTAAAATTACATTTGTATAATTCCACAGTCAGATTATTATGAAAAGAGAAAAATGGACCCCTTTCGTTTTAAATGTCAAGAGAGAAGCAATAATTATAAACTACAAATCTAGAGGTTGCTAATACCAATTAAAAGCTAAAACTCGACAAAATATCTCCCAGTTGGCTCGGTTGGTTAACAAAACTGCGTTCTAAACTATCTTGAATTTAGCTGAATCTTTTATCTGAACATTCATTACTGTGAATAGCGTCAAGAGGCCGAAAGCAAGGAGCTTCTTTTTCTTTAGAGCTATCTAGGACTTTTCTTAGGGGAGTGTTTGAATAAAAGCATATGAGTACATATAGGAACGTGGGAAAATGGTCGAACGTTTCTAAAGAACCATGAGAATTTTCCAATAAGTCTTCTGCGTAAATGAATGGTAACGCCATTATTCAACGAGTTTGCGAACACCGGTTAATTTTGAAAGAAGCAAGTGTTTTTGACTTTCGATTTCATTATAGTAAATTCCAGTCCATAAGAGCCACTGATTTTAGGGTAGTCTGCCCAAATTTTGTTTTCATCTTTAGGAGGTCTAGGAAAGTCTCTAAGGGGATCGAAATGATCTTTGTGAACTTTAGTATTATCAACTCCTTACCTGCATGCGAAGGCAAATGTAAATTGGAAAAAGAAAAAATTGAGTTTAAATGTTGTATTTAATCAACGTTTTTATTTGGCTTCTTGCTTCTGAAAGTTAATAAAACTTTCAATCATCTTATAACCATATTGATTATTATCTATGTATGTTGTATTGCAGAGATCACATGCCCAGTACTGTCTCCACCAACTCATGGAACAAGATATGGATGTCCAGGAAATTTGCCATTATATAACGGTACCGTCTGTCGGTTCACGTGTAATAATGGCTATGTAGGATCAGGATCTCAAGTCAGAAGGTGTCAGTACGATGGAATTTGGAGTGGACAGAACTTCGTTTGTAAAAGTAGGTTCCCAAAGTTTATCAGATAGAAAGAGTAATGTTCATACGTCAAAACAAACAAGAAGTCATTGATAACTGATTGCGGAAAATGTTAGTTTATCTCAGCTTCTTTCTATTTTTTTAGTCATCAACTGTACATCGCTGATGATAAATTACATTTGCAGCTCAGTTCTAACACAGGGCTGTGTCTAAGAGCTCGGCCAACCAATATAATTATTCCAGTTCATTTAGTTCTCCCACACGCGCAGTCAATAACCATTGAGTTTTTCTAAAACCGAAAAAAGAGGTAATTCTTCAGTCGATAGTTGATGAAATGCGAGAGTTATGAAACTCCAAACTATCCCCTTGTTATACCTGATTGTGAGCTTTTTAAAATCATGTTTATTTGACACTGTTCTAGTTTTGATTCTGGTCTTGCCATTTAGTTTGCCACTTATACATTTATAAAAGACACTACATGCCGTGTTAAGTGTAAATTTTTTAGCCGAGGATCGGAGAACCATTTCTACCCGACATCAAATGTCTGCGTGGCTTCCGCTGAACTTATTTCTCTCTATAGTCAGAATTAAATGCCAGGTTGTGATATACTCGAAAGATGAGTGTCATGCTAATTATAATCGGATTTCTTCTTCAGCTTTAAAGTGCCCGACCTTGTCATTACCGAGGAATGGTGTCCTCTTGGGATGTAACACCAATAACACAGAGATGTCATATGACACTGAATGCAGGTTCTTTTGTAAGGAAGGATCTGAAGCGATTGGTGCAACAATAAAGAGGTGTGCTGAAAATGGAACGTGGATTGGACCAGACCTTGCTTGTCCAGGTACGAGAGATGCGAACTATTGGTACTATCAAAATGTAATGGAATTTAAGTGGTTTTCGCTAGTTTTTACTTGTTGTATTCATTGCGTCGCATGACGAATCGATTCGAGATCGTCAGTGGTCTTTACGCCCAACGTTTGCAGCGATTGTAGACCGCGATAGTCGACCTAACATCGTTGCACCGTTAATTCTCGGGACCACGCGGTTGATCTCATATCTCTGTACATGGATCAATCAATGTATGGTGAAAGAGATCTAATAACTTGACGACCCTGGATCACGAATCGATACAGGGTCGTCAATAGTCTTCATAAGGTTGAAGCAGTTGTAGATCATGACAATCAATCAAACAACATCGCAGCAATCTTATGTATGGGGCCTGTCAGATGATTCCATGCTTCTGCGCATCAATCACTCGATTTATAATCGTAGAATGGATCTTCACTGTCTTTATGTGTTTAAGACTCAGTGACGATACATTTGCCATTATCTGGCTGTATTCAATTTTCTCAATGATATCAATATTGAACAAGCGGCGACATGTGCAGGTTCGCTATATTACACTTCTACTATAAATTCTAACTTTCTTGAGGGCTTGGTCCTGTTTACATCTTAAGCCGTTGTTACGATATCGCTGTTGATTTGATAGGTATGAATCATAAAGTCTTTAATTTATACAGAATAGCTATGAACTCACCGTAGATTGCCAACGATTGAGCTGAAAAAAAATACTTACAAGCACGAGGTTTACGTTATGATGATGATGATGATAGCTTGTCTCGGTTATAGATCCAACGAGTGGTAAGTACACAATGATACAATATCTGCAGATCAATATTTGAAAACTCTCTACATAGCTTGAAGGTTTGCATACTCATGTAGATGTTTAGGAATAATAGTTATCATCTTAACAAGCCAAGATTTCCCGAGGTGCAAATAGAGAAGCTTGAGTATCGTGAGGGGGAAAATATTGTTTCAGTACACCTGAACGTAAAGAAGCTGTATACTCCAAATTAGCCATGCGAAATGCGTTCTGTTTACTTTCACTTACTCTCGATAATATCTCCTACCTCTCCTTCAGATCTTTCAGCAGGGACTGTGCTGGGTGAGTCCTTCCTCGAGCAGACGATTCAGGACCGCCTACAGTATTCTGAATGAGACATATAACCCTTTCCCACACACCCTCCCCCGGCTGCCGTCTGCATACTTTTTCCTCAGGTCCTCGCCTACCTTGACTTATCGCGCCTGGCTTGTCCTGTTCACAAAGTTCAAGGCATCTTCCAGAAAGCCTGCGAACCTGGGTATAATACAACGCTGAGAGGCCATATCTGACTACATCACTGAGGAGAAGACTAAGCAAAGCTATGTTATGAGTTAAAGCATTAAGCTCGTTATTACGAGCGTTCGGAGTTCTTCATTGTTGCTGATGGAGTGCAGTAAATAATGTTCAACGCAAGAAAAAGAGTGAGAAAAACGTTCAATGGCAAAACTTAAGGAGTTTGCACAAACTAAGCACTTAACATGATGAAATAAAAAATAATAACAAAAAAAGTAAGCGTAAATGTTTCTTAAAGTCGAAGGCAATACATCGAAAGGCGCGATTTTCATATATAACTATAGCAACAGTGATCTTCAAGCGTGTGAAGATATCATATATTCGTGCGAAATAAAGATCTCGTGTTAAAAGCTAGTTCTTTTGTTTTAGCGTGCGAGCGTGCCGTGTGCGTGCGTTCACCATATTCCCTGAATCCCGCGGAGGGTCACATATAATAAATTTTGAGTTCCATTGTTGAAGAAGACACATGTTGTTAATTTGTCACAAATGCTGAACGAAGGAAAAATCAGAGTCCGCTTTGACAAATCGAACCACAGACCTTCGGAATTCACGGTTCGATGATCTACCATGGAGCTTAAAGAGCACTCGTTGATGACCAAGGCCGTATACTTGGCTCGAGTTTATTTGAGACATTTCTGGTTTAATGTATTCAGTCTCTGAACTCAATAGCACTCAGTTATCGCATTTCTGATTCTAACGGGGATGCGAGACTAATAATACCCTTGTATAAAAATTCAATCGCCTATCCTCCCCGCTAACGTCCCACCACTTCATATACGAACATACGAGGCCATTTAAGCCCTTTTGAACCGAGATCTTTTTTATAGGAGCAATTAAAAAGATAGTATTTTTGTGAAGTTTCATCGGGGGCTTTGTCAAATCTTATCTACCAGTAAGTCCAGCAGAGCGTTATCGCCCAGTTCACCTCCTATTTAAATTCTACCCAGGCCCCTCTCTTACGTGTTACGATATCCATGACTAAAAGAATGAAGCCGTCTTACCCTACTCGGCGCACAATAACAAACGTAGACATGAAAGGACTCAAGAAGGCTTTTCTGCTTTGGAGCACAATCTTCATCTCAAGTCTCGCTTGTTTTCAGGAGGTATCTGCTTCTTTGGGTAAGTCACAGATTTTTGACAAGTAATCATTTCCTGTTCAAAACGAACCGAAATTGTTTAAATACAAGCCATGGCACGCTCACTTAGAAGTTGAAAGTTGAAGCGGAAAAGCCAACAGGCTCCTAACTAAAGGTAAAATAGGACCAGAAAATATCAATTGACGATGTATTGATCGAAAGATTACCAGTCATTGAGTTCAAATAGGAGTTATGCCAAGAGTAGTGTAATTACAAGGCCTTCTGATTTACACCATTGTCCTCGAACGTATTTCTACATCTTTTTATTTATTCATAAACCTCTTTATGACACCATGGTCTGATTATTTAAACAAAGGTTAGACGTTGCTTAACAAAGCCGCGTCCTAAACAATTTCAAACTCTTTAGAGGGTCTGAATGGGGGGGTCAAAATGTCGGTTGTCGGTTATAATTTCATTACTTTGTCGGTTGTCGGTTGTCGGTTAAGATTTTTGACCTTTGTCGGTTGTCGGTAAATCTCAGTTAATAATTAAAAATACTCGTTAATTATTGACATTTATTATGCAATTTGTCCAGTTTTAAGACTTTAAACTCTAGACGAAGTGTAATACTTGTAATAATTCAGTATTTGTTTTCACTTAAACCTCGTTAACGCTGTTTTTTAATTTAGCAACGTGCTCATCTACCCCACTTTTGTTTGCAAAACTAGTATACTGATAAAATTCACCAAAGCTTTTATTATAGATGTAAATTTGTTTCCTGTCGACTACGGGGCATCGAAGTAAATCAAGAGAGGTAAATTCTACAAAGAATGAAACACCCACTCTAGCCCCTGGGATACCTAATTTTAATTTGTAAGCTACGGAAGTCTTTTTTCCGAGACGTCCACAAAAACTCACTACACTTATTATTCAACGGCTCTCGTGGCTTTTCTACGAGGTTTCTTTTTTTTTCTCTTTTTTTTTGCTAAAAATTTGGTTGTCATACGTATCAATCTGCACCGTTAAATGGATTTTTTAACTGTTAGTACCTCTTACATGTCGAGACGCACAAATGCACGAACAGCCCTGCCGGATCGGGTAACACACGCTCTGTTGACAACCTCTGGATGTTCTTCAAAATCTGATTCCTCGTCATCCGAATCTGTCTCATACTCATCGATTTGTACTTCTCTGTGACCCTCAAACACCTCAGTAACATCCCCTTCGTCCACAAATTGTATGCTGACGATACAGTGTTTTCTTCAGGATATCGAAGCCTCTCTTCAGACTCGTCGATGTGGTGAACGGCGTAGACAGCTGGCGGCAAGGCCCCAGCCTTATCTTTTGTGGTCTCACTCCTAACCGTCCGTTGGCGTACTGGTCTGTAACTCTCTAGCCACTCTTTGATCTGTCCTTCCATCCCTGGTGTTATGTCCTCACTTGGCAAAGGTGTCATCGTAGCTATAGCAGAAAGGGGCATGGCGGATTGAGGTACCGGATAGTAGGATTTGTCATGCGTGTAGTACTTTGCTGCCCATCTACATACATTTAGCCCGGCAAATTCTTTATTTTAGCACGCAAAATGCGCCACAATGCCCATCAAAGTAATAATAATACAGTTTTTAGCCGGAATTTAAAAGAAACTATCTTTACATAGCGAACGCACCAAGTGAGCGTTTTTCGTTGTATAAACAAGGCAGTGTTTATAAACAAGGAATACCGCAGAATTTCCAAAGTAGCGAAATTTATGACTTTTGAAAATCAGGTAAACGAACTACAAGTGCTAATTCAGCCCTACCATCCTGAAACTTTTGAAGGTCTCCTTGTTGCCTTTCGTTTCTCTCGATGTCACCTCCTTCAGTCATGATCCTCTTTGCCAGATTTTCATCTTCTTTTGCTTCTTCTCGTGATTTCCGTTTCCTTCTCACTTTTGACTCGTCACCTTTCTTCTCAGTGTCGTTCATTGACTCCTGCTTGCTTTTATCAGATGTAGCCGGCGCCTTCAGCAACACTACTGGCTTTCCGGTCCAGTTTGTGACCTCTTGGATAATGTGTACTAAAATATTAAACACCGTGTGTTTTAAGTTTTCTCTTTAGTAGGCTTTTGAGAAACTTACACAGTTCTTATCAGCATATGCTCGTCAAGATGTATAAAACGTGCACATCGGGCGAAATCTCTCGTGCGTAGCTTCCCTCGAGGAGAGAATTGAATATTATTTGAACGTCTGGTTTTCAGAAACGAATAAATTTAAGGGCGTGTATAAATAAACGGGGTCTTTAATATGTTAAGCTGCACTGTTGTTCATTCACCAATTAATCAGAAAGAAGCTTATAAACTGATTTACTCGCTACTTCTTTGTAGAGATTTTTCTTACGATTACGAGCCGCTGTTCTAGAAATGAACCCACGCTGCTCACCGAAAAGAAGGATCCCGTGGACTTAAAGTAATTTGAAGACAAGAAATTCTATAATTCGGTTAAATTTGGAATTAATGTGGTTACGTCGGGTGAAGAAGGATTTTCTGAGCTAGAAATCATCAAAATGCTGTTCTTTCTGAATACAAACATCCCTATCACGTCTGACCATGTCGGTTGTCGGTTAGAATTTATTTGTCGCTAGTCGGTAATTTTTTCCCCGTTTCGTCGGTAGTCAGTAATTTTTTACGCCCTTTGTCGCTAGTCGGTTAACCCCATTCACACCCTCTCTTTACGGTGGCCAATTTACATTATCAACCAAGTCGCTAATTTTAAATTACCCTGCTATACTCTCCCAACGACGCAGCACCATAGTTTTTTTAGAAACTTACCTCCTTTAATCTTCAATTTAGCTAAACCTTTAATCTGAACATTTATTTCTGTGAACAGTGTCAAAAGGACCGAAAGCTAGCAGTGCAGAGACATTTATTTAATTAAATGAGAGGTCATCGAGAAAGTCTGAAGTCCACTGATTGCGTAAAACCGTGCATTGTGTTAGACCTCGTGATAACAACCGGCCCTACGTATTTTTGGGATTTCTTGTAACCTTTTCTTTTTTCGAAGGAAAGAGACATCCGTACATGGAGTATTATAATATAATGCAATAATGACAAAAATAATGGAAACTTTCGGAATCTGTTCTTCACTGTTATTATGCTTCCGACCCCGATCGAGTTCACTCATTTAGGCTCTGTGCCTCAAAAAAGAAAAAAAACCATATCGGCAATTAAAACAAAACTTAGTAAAGACAGATTCGAACGGAGCCCTGTTGTAAAGAAGTCGGTCTTATTCGAAATTAATGCATACTAATAATTTATTAACAACCGTGGAATTTGATCGTTGCGTTACAGAAGGTCTTTACTTTCCAATATTTGCGGTATGAAAACAAAGTGAGATGTAAAAGAAAGAAAAAAAACAACAATTCATTGCATGCAGAATTAAATGTTGCCATTGAAAATGAGGGCTAACGTCTGATAAAGATAAATAAAATAAACCATGATAATTTCAGTATCATTAGATTTGCTTTGCCATTAGCAGATTAAGTGAATTGATGAGATTCTGAGACAGACTCTGACCTTGAAAAACTGTCTTGTGTAGTAACGCAACTGCCATGAAAACAAAACGGAAAAAAAGTTCCGCATTCGTTTTTATCAAAAAAAATATTAGAAGATTTTGTGCTTTTGCATGTAACATCGCTTTTGACATAATAAATCAACTTTTGGAAATTTGAAATTCGTGCTAATGTGAAATCTGGACTCCATTACTTCGTATCCAGTAATAAACAATAAGATAATGAGTATCGATCGAGAAAAGAGAATGTGCGCACAACATGTTTGTGCCTCTGAGTGCCCTCCTTCAGAGACGGAAGCAAAACTTATTTCTCTAATATTCAAGTTGGTTTCGTCTTTATTCTGTATTCAGGACTGGGGAGTCCTTTTGATAATATCATACTTGTTCAAAGAACATGCTTGATAAAGTGAACTAGGCTGAGCAACGCTTCACCAAAAACATTTAATATTTGAAAATCGAATTTTCTATTGTCATTCTTGTAAACGACTCAGTGGGAGGGAGAATGATGGCTCATAACCATTTTTCCCGTAGAAAATGTACATTCCCCTTATCATGGACAAAAAAAACGGACTATGAGAACAGAAATATTAAGTTTATTGTGCTGTATATATATCTAGATATATATATATATATTTTTTTTTTTTTGGGGGAAAGGGTGAGATATGAGGAATATGGTAATTCCTCACCGGTACCAAATCTTTATTTGAGGTCGATCGTCATGAATTCGCCACTGAATTTTAAAAAAATGTATTATGGTTGTTTACGATTATTTTCCTTTGTTTGTTCTTTTTCATAGCAATGAGACATTCGTGCAACTCGCCATGTCTTCTGGTTGCAAATTTAGACCGCGTATTAGCTTTGGATTACGACAACAAGTCGATATTTCCAGTCGTTTCCAATTTATCATCAGCTATAGATGTAGACTTTCATTACAATAAGGGCTACATATTTTGGTGCAACTTTCTAAGTATCCAGCGCTCGAATATGGACGGCACAAACATCACCGTTATCCACAATGAGACTTCCTGTTATGGTTTGGCAGTAGAGTGGGACTCCTTGCAGCTGTATTGGACCGGTTATCACAACAAAACTATAATGGTATCAGACCTCGATGGAAATAACAAACGCATTGTTTTCTCTTCGCTCTCTGGACCAACCGATATCGTTCTTGATCCACACCAAGGGTAAGTACTGTATGAACGCGTGAAAGATCCCGCAAACCAATTATTAATTAGGGAGACTTTTTCAAATAAAATCTAAGGTTGAGATAAAATGGTGAAGTAAATGCTGATAAATCTAATAACCGATGCAGCTGAGTGATTTTCTCCACAGATTGATGTTTTGGATTGCTAGGGGAAATATTTCTAAGGTGGAAAGATCTACTTTATACGGAACACAGCGTGTCACTATAGCGGTACATAATGTTACGTATTCAACTGGTATCACTCTTGATAGAAGAAGAAAGCTTATATTCTGGCTGAGTCAATGGAACCTGATAGAGTCCATAGACTATAGTGGCAACAATAGAAGGAAAGTTTTTCAAAGCGATGGACTCAACTTTTTTGGACTTACTTTTATCTCGTCTGATTTATTCGCTACTGAATGGTGGTTACCAGACAGCGTTTACAGACTGAATCCCTCCAATGGAAAAGTTAAAAGTAATGTAACCATCGACGGCTATTGGAGAGACGTTTATGGTCTTGTTGCATATGATAGCGCCTTGCAGTTACCAGGTTTGCCATGAAATTATTCAAACTTGAACAGGTTATTCTGGAACTTGGAATTTTAATCCTGTGATTGAAGACTTTGGCAATCTAGTCCGATATAAACAATGATCCCAAGCAAAAGCGACATTGACCACTTTCGCGAATTACTTCATTGCTGTATGTAAGCGGTTGTAAAATTACATTTGTATAATTCCACCGTCAGATTAGTACCAAAAGAGACTAATGGACCCCTTTCGTTTTGAATGTAAATTAAGAGGCAGTAATTATAAACTACAAATCTAGAAGTTGTTAATACCAGTTAAAAACTAAAACTCGACAAAATATCTCCCAGTTGGCTCGGAAGCTGACAGGCTTTAAAATGCAACTTGACACAGGGTTCTCACTAAAAACAGCATTTCGGCCATATTTTGTTTCTTACCAGAAATTGGTTAAAAATCGCAAATCAATTGGCTGCTGTCGAGTGCATTCCTCCTGTGTGTTCACGTTGGGTAGATTTTCATTTGAGTTTTGTTCCTTTTTCATCACAGTGGTTACTTGTCCAGTGCCTTCACCATCCAGTGGTACAAGAGCCACATGTCCGAGGAATGCAACAGTGCATCACAATACAGTGTATTACAATACAACCTGTCAGTTCTCGTGTGAGGATGGCTATGCAGGATCTGGCTCTCAAGTAAGAAGATGTCAGCGCAATGGAACTTGGAGTGGACAGAATTATTCTTGTCAAAGTAGGTCCTCGAAGCTTGGTAATGACCGATATGTAATATATTCCGTTTTATTTTGTAAATAACCACCGGCAGGTCAGTACATTCGGTGTCTGGTGGGAGTGAATATGAGTCGCTGCCGTGTACAAGTGTACCTCTGGTCAGCGGAGTTTTTACTGCAAAGGTGAAGCAGCATGGAACTCCTTGCCAGGGGAGTTGAGGAACTATGCGACTTTTAAATCGAAAAACAAACTACAGGCCCTTCTCTTTGACGAGTTTTAACTGTCAATACACTAACACTGAAATTAGACTCTTAAGTAGTTTTAAGAATTATAATTATATGCGTTTTAATATTGATATTAGTACTTTATAAGCTGTATTTTCTAGGGGCCGGCTATTAAGACAAAGTGTAGCCGTTCTCATCGCCCAGAACTCAGCGACATATCCGGGACTTTTATTGAGACGCTGGTGCTAAATTTAAAAAGTAATTAAAAAAATGCATTCATCGGCACGAAGCGGATCGACAGACCTGTTCTCGAAGGCGGTGATGAGATCTTCCGGCAAATGTTCGGGTGGTTCCCATGTATTTTCATTCGAGGAGTAGTTTTGCCATTGAATTAAGTACTTCTCTCTGCCTCCTTTCACTCGTTTTGCGACAATACGCTCGACTTCGTAAACGCCCACAACAATTGCGCGGTATTTTGAATTACAGGCACGATCGCAAACATCATTGAATAATGTCGCGTAAAAGCCTGGCTGATGTCTCAAATGCTTGGACATGTTATCTCTCATTCAACTGAATGGATTGAATAAAACTTGACTCTTTCAGGTGTTTTGATTAATCAAAACGGATCCAAATATGAATAATTATCTAACTATTCCCTCAGGCGTAAGCCTGTTTTAGGCGGGTATTTGTTTGTTTTTCTCTTTGCCGTCCGGACTTCAAAGAGAAAAAAAATCCGGTAATATGCTCTCGGTCATACTGTGCGTTAACCGGCACAGTAAAAGAGCTCGAGCGTGAAGTTCAAGTGAGTGACCCGTGCCTCGCACGCTCTTGTAAACTCTATCGCACCTTGGGATTTACTTCACGCATCCAACCGTTTGATTGACAGCAGCTGAAATCTGCAAAGAGACTCAAGTATTCCCAAAGCTAAATCTGTTGGCCAATATAGCCGACTAGTTCTAGACCTGCAAATTATGCCGCACGTTGATAAATTGGGCATGTCGCGAGAAACATTAGCATTATAGGCGATGTTTAACAAAACCGCGTTCTAAACTATCTCGAATTTAGCTGAATCTTTTATCTGAACATTCATTACTGCGGTTAGCATCAGGAGGCCGAAAGCAAAGAGTTTCTTTTTCCTAAGAGCTATCTAGGGCTCTTCTTAGGGGAGTGTTTGAATAAAAGCATACAAGTATATATAGGAACGTGGTAAAATGGTCGAGCGTTTCTAAGGAACCATGAGAATTCTCCAATAAGTCTTCTGCGTAAATGAATGGTGACGTCATTATTCAACGAGTTTGCGAACACCGGTTGATTTTGAAAGAAGCAAGTGTTTTTGACTTTCGATTTCTTGATAGCAAATTCCAGTTCATAAGAGCCATTGATTTTAGGGTAGTCTGCCCAAATTTTGTTTTCATCTTTAGGAGGTCTAGGAAAGTCTCTAAGGGGATCGAAATGGTCTTTGTAAACGTATTCCTAGGTTATTTAGTATTATCAACTCCTTACCTGCATGCGAAGGTAAATGTAAATTGGAAAAAGAAAAATTTAGTTTAAATGTTTTATTTAATCAACATTTTTATTTGGCTTCTTGCTTTTGAAAGTTAATAAAACTTTTAATTATGTTATAACCATATTGATTATTATCTATGTGTGTTGTATTGCAGAGATCACATGTCCAGTACTGTCTCCACCAACTCATGGAACAAGATATGGATGTCCAGGAAATTTGCCATTATATAACGGTACCGTCTGTCGGTTCACGTGTACTAATGGCTATGTAGGATCAGGATCTCAAGTCAGAAGGTGTCAGTACGATGGAACTTGGAGCGGACAGAACTTTGTTTGTAAAAGTAGGTTCCCAAAGTTTATCAGATGGAAAGAGTAATGTTCATACGTCAAAACGAACAAGAAGTCATTGATAACTGAATGTGCAAAATGTTAGTTTATCTCAGCTTCTTTCTATTTTTTAGTCATCAACTGTACATCGCTGATGATAAATTGCATTTGCAGCTCAGTTCTAACACAGGGCTGTGTCTAAGAGCTCGGCCAACCAATATAATTATTCCAGTTTATTTAGTTCTCCCACACCCGCAGTCAATAACCATTGAGTTTTTCTAAAACCAAAAAGAGAGGTAATTCTTCAGTCGATAGTTGATGAAATGCGAGAGTTATGAAACTCCAAACTATCCCCTTGTTATACCTGATTGTGAGCTTTTTAAAATCATGTTTATTTGACACTGTTCTAGTTTTGATTTTGGTCTTACTATTTTGTTTGCCTCATATACATTTATAAAAGACACTTCATGCCGTGTTATGCGTAAATTTTTTAGCCGAGGATCGGAGAACCATTTCTACCCGACATCAAATGTCTGCATGGCTTCCGCTGAACTTATTTCTCTCTTTAGTCAGAATTAAATGCCAGGTTGTGATGTACTCGAAAGATGAGTGTCATGCTAATTATAATCGGATTTCTTCTTCAGCTTTAAAGTGCCCGACCTTGTCATTACCGAGGAATGGTGTCCTCTTGGGATGTAACACCAATAACACAGAGATGTTATATGACACTGAATGCAGGTTCTTTTGTAAGGAAGGATCTGAAGCGATTGGTGCAACAATAAAGAGGTGTGCTGAAAATGGAACGTGGATTGGACCAGACCTTGTTTGTCCAGGTACGAGAGATGCGAACTATTGGTACTATCAAAATGTAATGGAATTTAAGTGGTTTTCGCTAGTTTTTACTTGTTGTATTCATTGCGTCGCATGACGAATCGACTCGAGATCGTCAGTGGTCTTTACGCCCAACGTTTGCAGCGATTGTAGACCGCGATAGTCGACCTAACATCGTTGCACCGTTAATTCTCGGGACCACGCGGTTGATCTCATATCTCTGTACATGGATCAATCAATGTATGGTGAAAGAGATCTAATAACTTGACGACCCTGGATCACGAATCGATACAGGGTCGTCAATAGTCTTCATAAGGTTGAAGCAGTTGTAGATCATGACAATCAATCAAACAACATCGCAACAATCTTATGTATGGGGCCTGTCAGATGATTCCATGCTTCTGCGCATCAATCACTCGATTTATAATCGTAGAATGGATCTTCACTGTCTTTATGTGTTTAAGACTCAGTGACGATACATTTGCCATTATCTGGCTGTATTCAATTTTATCAATGATATCAATATTGAACAAGCGGCGACATGTGCAGGTTCGCTATATTACACTTCTACTATAAATTCTAACTTTCTTGAGGGCTTGGTCGTGTTTACATCTTAAGCCGTTGTTACGATATCGCTGTTGATTTGATAGGTATGAATCATAAAGTCTTAAATTTATACAGAATAGCTATGAACTCACCGTAGATTGCCAACGATTGAGCTGAAAAAAATACTTACAAGCACGAGGTTTACGTTATGATGATGATGATGATAGCTTGTCTCGGTTATAGATCCAACGAGTGGTAAGTACACAATGATACAATATCTGCAGATCAATATTTGAAAACTCTTTACATAGCTTGAAGGTTTGCATACTCATGTAGATGTTTAGGAATAATAGTTATCATCTTAACAAGCCAAGATTTCCCGAGGTGCAAATAGAGAAGCTTGAGTATCGTGAGGGGGAAAATATTGTTTCAGTACACCTGAACGTAAAGAAGCTGTATACTCCAAATTAGCCATGCGAAATGCGTTCTGTTTACTTTCACTTACTCTCGATAATATCTCCTACCTCTCCTTCAGATCTTTCAGCAGGGACTGTGCTGGGTGAGTCCTTCCTCGAGCAGACGATTCAGGACC